TGTCTTAGAAAGCACAGTCTCTCTTCCTCAAGTATCAGAGCTTGCCGGGAGATTGTGATACAGAACTGGAAGCCAGGCAGGGGTACATTAATTGCTACAGCACCCACAGAGATTCCCCGCCTATTAACTTTCCTGCAGTCAAACCTGCCTTGTAGTTATTTGTGGGGGCCAGTGTGGTCTAGTGGTTAGAGCATCAGACCGCATTTGGGAGACCCAGGTATGACTGAGTGGACCTTGGGCTAGTCACTCATGCTCAGCCCACCTTACCTCACAGGGTGGTTGTGAGGATAAAGGAGAAGATTGGATGTATACCCCACCATGCATTACACGAAGGGTTCTCAGAGTGGTTTACAGTCTCCCTCCCCCTCCCCACAACAGACACCCTGTGAGCAGTGTTCCCTCTAAGATGAGTTAGTGTGAGCTAGCTCACAGTTTTTTAGCCTCCAGCTCACACATTTTTGTCTTGGCTCAGGAAGGAGGGCTCCAGAGCAAACTAATTTATGCAGGGGCCAAATTGCTCACAAAGCAGAATTTTTGCTCACAAGACTCCGCAGCTTAGAGGGAGCATTGCCTGTGAGGTAGGTGTGGCTGAGAGAGCTCTCTCAAGGACTGCTCTTGAGAGAACTTGTGACTGGCCCAAGGTCACACCAGCAGCTGCATGCAGAGGAGTGGGGACTCAAACCCAGTTCTCCCAGATTAGAGAGAGGAAAGCAGAACAATGGAAGCTAATTTGGGTGGCCACTGGGGAGAAAGAAGAAGAACAGATTGCATTTATACCCTGCCCTTCACTACCCAAAGGAGTCTCAGGGTGGCTTACAGACTCCTTTCTCTTCCCCTCCCCACAACAGACACCCTGTGAGGTAGGTAGGGCTGACAGAGCTCTGACAGAAACTGTGCTTTTTCAAGAACAGCTGTGACAGAACTATGGCTTGCCCAAGGTCATCCAGCAGGTGCAAGTGGAGGAGTGGGGAATCAAACCCTGTTCTCCCAGATTAGAGTCTGCACACTTAACCACTTCACCAAAAATAAATAAGAGGTATGCTGGGAGCCCTTCCCCCCCACCCCGAGGCTGAAAGCGTAAATACCCATGAGCAATATTCCCTCTAAGCTGTGGAGTCTTGTGAGCAAAAATGCTACTTTGTGAGCTACGGGCATCAAAGTTCTGAGCGAGCGATTTGGCTGCTGCATAAATCAGTTTGCTCTGGAGCCATCCTCCCTGAGCTAAGACAAAAATGTGTGAGCCGTAGGCTAAAAAACTGAGCTAGCTCACACGAACTCAGCTTAGAGGGAACACTAACCATGAGGGTGGGGTGGTGAAGGAAAATACTCTGTACTTTCTCAGAGGCACTGGGTCATTTGCCTCTTCCACAGCGGAATGTGGGTGCTACTGATAGGTTAACCCTACATGGCCGAATGCAGTTCTCCCATTAAGAACTCCTCACCCCATGAGGGTGGGGTGGTGAAGGAAAATACTCTGTACTTTCTCAGAGGCACTGGGTCATTTGCCTCTTCCACAGCAGAATGTGGGCGCTACTGATAGGTTAACCCTACATGGCTGAATGCAGTTCTCCCATTAAGAACTCCTCACCCACACGGAACTGGCAAGCCACGGAAGCCAGCTAACCTCGGTGTGCTGTAGGTCAGCCTGCCCTTTGGCACGGGGGTGTTTGTCAAGGGGAAGCATTTCCACAGGCCGTCTCCCACCTCACAGTGGCCAATCAGATTCTTCTTGGAAGCTCCCAAGTTGAGGATAAGGCAAGTGGCCTTCCCCTGCAGCAAGCGGCAGAGATAGACTGCCTCTGCACATGGAGGTTCTAATTGGTGATCAGGAGCCAGTGTGATGTAGTGGTGAAGAGCGGCTGACTCTAATCTGGAGAGCTGGGCTGGATTCCCCGCTCCTGCAAATGAGGTCTGCGGGGTGACCGTGGGCCAGTCACTCTTCTCTCTGAACTCTCTTTGAGAGCCAGTTTGGTCTAGTGGTTAAGTGCGCGAACTCTAATCTGGGAGAACCGGGTTTGATTCCCCACTCCTCCACACACAGCTGCTGGATGACCTTGGGCAAGCCATAGTTCTGACAAGAGCTGTCCTTGAAAGAGCAGTTCTGGAAAGAGCTCTCTCCGCCCCACCTGCCTCACAGGGTGTCTGTTGTGGGGAGGGGAAGGCAAGGCAATTGTATGCCACTTTGTGACTCTTTAAAGTAGAGGAAAGCAGGGTATAAAAACCACCTCTTCTTCTTGGGCATTATCCTTCACCCAGTTTTAAAAGGGATTCGACAACCTTGTCATAGCTAGGGGCTAGCACCACGTGAAATCCATTTGCTACCTACATACCATAAAGCCTGTATTTTTCAATCAGGACTAGAAACTTGACTTTGAGGAGACAAAAAACTCAAGGTTTTCAGAACCTGGAATTCTGTACCATCATATGGCAGGTAGAACCCTACCGAAAAGCCACCTTCCCTACTCTGGGGTCTGCCAGACAATCTCTTCTTTCTCTGAAGCAGGGCTTACGTTTGCTTTTATTTATTTATATCGCACTTTTCTAGCCATCAGATTCAAAGCAGCTTAGAACATGGTTCTCTCCCCCCCTTTTCTCACAACCACCACCCTGCGAGGTAGGACCGGCAGACATATTGTGACTTGCCCAAGGTCACCCGGCGACCTTTCATGCTAGAATTGGGGATTTGAACCTGGGTCTCCTGGTCCAACACTATCCACCACACCGGCTCTCTTACCCACTGGTCGCTGCTTTACTTCTCAGAGGAACAATAAAGGGGGTGGGGAGAAAATTTTAAAAACACCGCCGACCCAACCTGTACATAAATTAAATAGTGTGATTTAATTTAGTCATCGTTAAGTTCCGAACCTCGTTTCTTTAAGTTAAAAAAAAAGTTATAATTAACGACAAACATGAATTAAAGACAAAACCTTTCGGAGAACAGGTACCCAAAAGGAAAAGGGAAATAAAGTTTGCTTTTCTTAAAATAAAGCAACATGTTCAGCAGATTCCAGACTGTTTCCCAGTCTGCACCAACAGTGAAAAAAGGGGTCTTTGTTTCAGGGAGAAAACTGGCCCATAGAGTCCATTGAAGCAATTCATGGTGTTCTGGTCTGCTATTTAAAGCGGTCTTCTAAGAGGTACACTATCAACTCGTAAGTCGACAAGACGATAGCCGTGTTGGGGATCTGCCTCATGAGCTGAGCAAAGAGTCCTCTGTAGAAGGCTAGGTAGCCCTCCTCCCGGGCGACCAATCGTGCCGTCTGAACAAATGTCTTGTATTTGGTGCCTTCCTCCCGAAGTCTCGTTCGTATAACCTCTGTGGTTGGGGAGAGGAAGATGCACACAGTCAGACAAAAGCAAAAAACTGGTTGTCCTCGCCCCCAAATCACCATTGGCTGAGCTGCTCTGATGTCATGGAATGTTGATGCGTGCCGCCGTAAACTGCTTGGGGTGAAAGCAGTGGCACTGGAATGTTAACCAACAGTGCAAGTTCTGCAAGGTCAGTTTAAGAGGAGAAGAAGAGAAGAGATTGGGTTGATACCCCGCACTTCAGTCGGAGTCTTACAATCTCCTTTCCCTTCCCCTCCTCTGTGAGGTAGGTGAACAGCTCTGAGAGAACTTCTGACTGGCCCAAGGTCACACCAGCAGCTGCATGGGGAGGAGTGGGGAATCAAACCCGGTTCTCCCAGATTAGAGTCTGTGCTCTTAACCACTGCACCAAACTGGCTCTCTTAATGGGAGAAGAACTTGGCCATCAGGATGGTTAAAGGGAGGTAAGAGCTAGGACTGATATCTTCCGAAATGGTTTAGACCAAGGGTGTCAAACTCATTTGCCATGAGGGCCGGATCTGACATAAATGAGACCTTGTTGGGCTGGGCCATGTGCACCATTAAAGGTAATGCCAGGTAGCGGAGATATAAACTTTTCCACTCTGGGCCTGATAGAAGCCCTCCGGGGCCTGATCTGGCCCCCAGGCCGCATGTTTGACATCCCAGGTTTAGACAACTGACATTTGACAAGCATCCAAGGAACTTTCTCAAAGCCTGCCAACATCACCGCTTTCACTGACATTTTAAAAAGCTCACTAGACTTTGCAAAGGACCACTGTCAAAAGGATGGAGCCAGACAGTCTTAAAAGAACTTCACGGGCTGCTGACTGATTTCAAAGCACAATTCAAAACTCTGGTGCCTACCTTCGAAGCCCAAAGCAGCCTGGGTCCCAAGCAATGCTCCCTCTAAGCCGTGGAGTCTTTTGAGCAAAAATCCTACTTTGTGAGCGACTGGCATTGAAGTTGTGAGCGAGCACTTGGCTCCTGCATAAATTAGTTTGCTCTGGGGCTATCCTTCCTGAGCTAAGACAGCAATGCGTGAGCTGGAAGCTAAAAAGCTGTGAGCTAGCTCACACTAACTTAGCTTAGAGGGAACACTGCTCCCATATCAGCCTGGACGTTAATGTCCCCCTTTCCAACAGCAATTTGCCCACGTGTATTTTTAAAGTCTGAGTGAAGACGATCCTGTTCTCCCGAGCACCTTGCCATTTTGCATCAAGAAAAGCTGGATTTTGGATCCCGTAGAGCAGGGGTCCCCAACGTGGCGCCCACCAAGTGGTTTTAGAAAGCAGGTGGGGCCACATTACGCTTTTATACAGCACGGCTTCTGATTGGCTGTGCAGATCATTAAAACTGTCGCTTTCGCGACAGCTGCCCTCCCACAGTACAAGGACCTTCACTGTGTGTACTGAAGGGGGAAAAGTATATTTAAAGAGGCATCCTGTTAAACAGATCTTCTACCTGAAATGTTGAAGACTATTAGAGCTATGCGTAACTCTAGGTCCCCGGCCTTTTGTGATTCGCTCCGCCTCCTACTGTAACCGTTTGGGCCCACACGATCAGAAAGACCGGGGACCTTTGCTGATTAAGCAAGTCGTCTTCCATGTTGTATACTTCTCGTTTGCTAGTTACGGGAAGCCCAACATCGCTGAAAGCCTCATGCTTGGAAATCAGCCGGCAGTACTCCGTTTTGCCTCTTGGGTGCTGAGATTCTGTGCACTTTCAAACGCATCGACACATGGAACTAGAAACTTGACTTTATGAAAAAAGATAAACATGGAAGCAATGTTCCCTCTAAGCCAGGGATGTCAAACATGTGACCCGGGGGCTGGATCAGGCCCCTGGAGGGCTTCTATCAGGCCCTCAGTGCAACTGGCTGTCTTCTGCTGCTTCTTCCAGTTCTGCTGCTGCTGCGTCATCGTAGGTTTGCAGCTTACAGATACACACCTGAACAGCATCCTCAAGATTGCAACAGCACAGACATTTTGATGCAATAATTCAGAGCAAGGGGTGTCAGCTATCA